CAGACCCCCGAACGGACCCGGTTGGCACGAGCCCAACCGACAGCGAAAGGGGAGGGGCTGAGCGGCGGCGGCGGCGGCGGCATGAAGAGGTGAAAAGCAGGAGGCAGGCGGCTCTCGGGAGTCTTGGAAGAAGAACTGAGAGGAAAAAAAGAAAGAAAGGGAGAGACGGTGACGGTGAGTGCCCTGCGGCGGCCCCGCATTCACCGCAGTGCCCCCCTCCCTGGTTTTCTTCCCCTTCCCGCCCTCGCCCCCTTCTAGTTGTCGACACGCACCCCGCCTTCCCGGTCGGCGAAACGGGCAAAAGAGCCATTCCCCTCGGTAATTCCACGCGACGGCGACGGCGAGCTGAGGAGATGGATTCCTATTGAGCCTGCTTGTCGCCTCTCGCGTGTAGGAGAGGGAAAACGAGTGGGTCACCGTGGGTAGGTCTCATCCCTTTTCCCTCCTGCCCACCCCCCACCCCCGTAGCGCCCGTAGCGTCAGGTTTGGGCTTGCAGGCGCTTCCGGTTGGATTATTTTGCCGCTTCCCCGCCCGCCCCCCCGTAGCGGAATCGTGGTTTGTGAACGAAAAGGTAGTGTTCAAGAATCCACTTCTGAGAACCTTGTGAAGGATATTTTATACGAGGTTCGGCGCTCGTCGGTTGGCCGTGTCACCTTTTCCCATGCTAGATGTGGGTATCGTTCCGAAATCGAGGGTAGGCTTTGAAAATCTGGTCACCCGCCCTTGCTTCTATTATTCTCGCTTGTCCAATTTTGGACTTCTATCACATACTCAAGATCACTTTAGTACGAACTTGTTATCATCTCTTCCCCATGCTTCCCACCACGTCCTGGCTGAGGAGTATTCGGAAACGTGGGTCCCTCTTCCCCTCCCCCTCCGCAGATCATGCTGAAGAGTGAATTGGAAACCATAATCAGCTTTTAGTGATTCTGAATGCAAAATGAGGAGATAGCATTTGTCCTAAGCTATTTAGCATGGAATGCTGCTTGCGATCTTGTGTGTTAGGCTTCAGTGAGGAAATGGAGAAGAGCAATAAGTACTGTAACCTGTTAGGTGAATTAAATGTTCCTCATATTCCGCCACAAAGTGCAATGGAATCTAATGATGGAAAACACCATGTATGCAACTGTCTCCAAACCATTGAATAGACTAGTGTGTGGGTTGCAGTGCTTCTCTTCTGGACATGTTAAAGTAAGGAAGGACAAGCAATACCAACTACAGTAGTTATCTTGCCATATACATAATTTATGTCTTCTGTAAATGACAACTGTTACCTGAGATATCATGGCTACATTACAGATTTATTGGTTTCTATCAATATTAACCACCCAGAGTAGACCTTTGGTCTAGATGGGCGGGATAGAAATCCAATAAATAAATACTGTAAATAAATAAAATATTCTTTAAATATAGTTTGGGAGGCTGATGTCCTGCAGACCTTCTCTGGGGCTTCACTAATCAGAATACACACATACTCCCAAAATGTAGAAAATTTATTGTACCAGAGTGTATCTGATTTGTCCATTTGTTTGTGTTTAGGGTGTGAAAAGTGACAGCATGTGAATTCATCCCATTTTATGCAGATAATAAAATTGATGCCTCCTTGTTTCATTTGTGGACATAATAATTATACAAGAAGTAGCTTAAATAGCTTTCAGTGGTCATCAGCTCTACTAGTCTGTACTTTGTGATGTTCCATTCAATTCTCTATTAGCTTTAAAGAACCAATACATTGCAGATACTAGGTGCTGAAAATTGACATTTATTTTAAATTCTTTTAAATAATGTTGAGTAGTTTTAAATTGCAATTCCCTTTAAAATATTTGCACAGCCAATGTGGGATAATAAGGTAGTAGACATATTTTGTACATTCTTCAACCTCTAATGTATAATATAGTTGCAATATTTGAAGGCATATTTATTTCCTAGCATTAGTATATTACAATTCTGGGCTTTTTATTTTGTGATACAGAGTTTGTTACTATTGTGCACATCATGCTTTTTATTTTAAATAATTAGATATTTTATAATTTATTTGATTTCTACTTGGTTGCTATTTTCTATAAATTGGGGTTTTAAAATAAGCAATTGCTTGTGTTAAAATGTATAGTGCTTACAATTATGAAAGTATTAAAAATTTTCAAAGCCTATTTGCAGTATTCATTCACTGATTTTCCAGTGTAAGCAGTGTGCAGTACATGCTCTATCCCATCTGAAATTATTGGAGGGGAAATCTAAATCTAAGACATTCCACAACAACAGTGATCAAGGAACATGGTCTTCCTTATGGTCAATCTTGCAATAGCAAAATTGTACCAAGATATTATCAGTACATATTCTGTTACAGAGAAAAACTGGCAGATCCATTTGGATTACAGCAGTGCCCTGCAAAACTCTCCAGTTTACCCCTTCCTGCATTCAAAAAGATCATGCACTTCAGAATCTTCAAAAAGGTTGAGCAGATACCTATTCATGGAACCTTTTATTTTCAAGCACTCTGCTGCTTTTATCTGATGGCATTCATCCTGAGCATAGGGCCTGTGTGAATAGCCCACTGTGTAAATAGTGAACATTGCACTGTTCTGCAGTGTTATGTATTTGCCATGTATTTAATGTAAAGACTTTTAAATAGTTGTTGCTGGGTTTTCTGTGAGTGAAGATTATGTGGTAACTTGTCAATGACACTATGATCAACTTAACCAGTATTTCAGTAGAACAGAGGAAGTGGACATTGACAGGCATTTTGGTTTGGAATTGCAATTACTTAAAGAGCTAGAATTGATCAGTTAGAAAAGCTATTTTTAGTATTATTCTGATCTAAATATGAGTTATTTTCTTGAGATGAATAAACATTTGGAATTTTGAAAGTGCATGCAGATTTCCAAAATGTTTTATAAGCTTGATACTTCCCAAGATTATGAATAGTGGCAAATGACTGTAAAGGATTGAGGTTATGGTAAATGTATTAGATTGAGTACTGATTAGCATGTGTATAGCTGTTCTTTTAACTGACTTTTAAATTATATAGCTTGTTGTTTTCTTCACTATTATGGCTTGCATTAAAACGTAGCAATAATTTAAAGGTTATCTGTGGATGCTTGTTTCTTAGTATCTATTGGGTTTCAGGCATGTGTCATGCAAGTGAGGCAGATGGATATTTCATTGTGACTTGCTTTACATTTTTTGGGGATCAGCTGAGCTGACAAAAACTGGCTCTTAAAACCTTTGGAAGACAGCAGGCAAGATGATGGAATAGGGAAGAGAAAGGGGTACATTTTTCCTGGTAATTTTCATCTTTTGATTATGACAGGCCAGAAAATAGTGTGGATGTGCCTTGTTTATTTATCTTCATAACAGATACATACAGTTGGTGTGTTTTTCATGCCTTTCCCACTTCTCAAATAATTTATCCTACTTATATTCATTAATTTAACTTGCATTTCTTTTATATATATTTAACCAATCCATTGATGACTTGAAATGAATTAC